AGAAGCTCAGAGAAGCCTGTGCTGTACCTCAGCAAGCACTGTGTCCTTGGTGGCGTGTCTCTTCTGGAGCTCTGGCCTCTAGTCTACCTCCCTTGCTACGGGACCAGCACCCCTCAGCACTGTTTTCTCGTCTTTGCCAGAGGGTTCACAGGCTGGGAGGGTAGGGTGATACTTGGGGGTTTCTAATTTAAACCTCAGCTTGACCCTAACTGATTCCTGCATTCCGCTTCCCTAGTTAGAAATGTCTCAAAGACCACAGGGGATCTGGTTGGAGTTTGAGATGCCTAGGATGCATGAGGGGTACCTTATTCCTTCCTCTCCCTCAGACCCTAACACTCATGAGATTGCCTGCTCAGCTAGTGCTCTTCCTCCAGTAGCCCTGGGCCCATCCAGCATCAGGACCCCCTGGGTGGGCAACTTCTGTCTTGTCTTTGTGTCCTGTACTAATAAAGAAGTTGAAGAGTTAACTTCTTGGAGACAAATGCAATAATGCTGAGGTTTCAAAGTGGGGAGGAGGCAAGGAGGTGTTGAGAGGAAGTGGTTGATAGACCTCTATGACAGGCACCAAGACATTTCCATCTGATGATGATGGGGGACTTGGGAACCACATTAAAACAAGAATCACGTACTCATTAGAAGATATTTATACAACACACACACTCATATTAAGCCATAATAATTTGATTTTTATGCATGTCCCATTTTATGAGACAATGTTAGGCTGTACTTTATATTTCTACATTAAAAGCATCCATTCTGAGTTTCAATAGCTTTGTACAACATCAGTAGCTTTGTGCCTTTGGACATTATTCATGTGTGGTTCCCTGAGTCACTGTTGTCATTGGGAGTGAAAAGTGAAAATTTGTCTTTGGAAGTGGAAATTCCAAGCTGGTAAAAAACGAAAATGAATATAGATTAAGCAGCAAATACTTGAAAAGTAGTTTTGCACCTTCCTAGTTACTACTAAGGATGGGTTTAGCAAAAAGCAGCCAACTGGAAAGCTACAAAATAGGCAGATGGGAAAATATAGCACATGGCACCTTGAATACACAAGGACTAAGCCATCATGTGAAGAACACCTCTTCAGAGTCTAAACACAAAGATGTAGAAGATCTTTTCTTCCTATAAGATACAGAGTTCAAAGCTGCCATGATAAGGTAATTGAGAGAAGTGAAAGACACAGAAAAACTGATCAAAGAAGTACAAGAGAATTCAGAAAACACAAAGGTCCTTAGAAATAAAACTAATGAAGAGTAAATAGAAATTCAAGTTTTAAATAAGAAAATTATGGAGGTGCATGATATAAAAAGGTCAATATAAGAGATTAAAAACACTAGCTCCTGGGCTCTCTGTGGTGGTACAGTGGGTTAAAACACTGCATTACGAAGCTCTCTAAAGCCACTGCAACCCAAGTTCGATCCCTGGCCAGGGAGATGACCCACATGGTGCAGCAGACCTCTCCTTACCCGCTCGCTGCTCTCCTCAGCAGTGTACTTCATCAATCTGCCTGTTCTGCTCCCTGTCTCTGGTGAATCCTCTCACCCATCACACCTCTGGCCTGTACCCCAGTTCTGTGAGCACAAATAAATAAATCTTTAAAAAACAAAAACACTAGCTCCTATCTGCAACACTAGCACCTATCTGTGACTGAAGCAGAATGGACTCAATGAGATATAAAATCAGTGACCTAGAAGATGGCAACACACAAAGGGCAGAGATAGAAGGAGAAATATGAAGGAGAAAAGTGAAGAAGCACTTCAAGAGTTATCCAACTCCATTAGGAAAGGAAATGTAAGGCTAATGTTTATCTTCTCCTTCTGGATACAAGTGTTCAAGTTTCTTCTGCCCTGCTGACAGACTTCATGGCACAGTGCATGGTTGGCTTTGACATAAATGTAAAATTCTGATGTTATTTCCCCAAAGAGGGGTAATACAACAGTTATATGTCTTGTATTTTCTTTCCTCATTATAGGCATTATAAATCTATAACTTGGTTATAGGGTATGTAACACTTTTAGTTTAAATTCAAGTATGTAAATATGTCATTACTTCAGTAATTTTAGATTTCATGTTAGCAAAATGATTAAAGTCTGATAGTTTGAATAATTACAATCAATTTCTAAATACCTATTTAAATGCTAACACTATGCTTTAATTATTTGGGAAATTTTATAGCTATATAAGAATTATTTTTTTCCCTAAAAACAAGAAATGATGGTTTAGATATTCTCATTTCATTTCTAGGTCCCTCATCCTTGCTCCCAAAGTATGTACAATGCTTACAGCAATTACAGCACTTGAAACAGTGGCAATTCATAGAATATGTGTATTGGATGGATGGATGTATACTTTGTTTACATGTATATCTTCATTCATGTCCTAGAATACAGGTATATTTTGTTATTAGCACGTATTAAAACATGTATTTGGCTTCATGGATGAATACATTTACACTTTATTCACTTCACTGGCATTTTTTAAAAGGTAGATGTTAACATCTACTAGGCATAAATAAACCTTTAACTTTTAAAATTCAGCTGGGAGTTGAAGAGAAAATGTACATGTGTTAAAATTAGAAGAATTTCTTTTAGGCATGTATGAGAATATATTCCCATGATGGTGGAATTTTCTGAACTTCCAAACAGAACAGAATTTTAAAGCTGGCTTTAAACTGTTGTCTTTCATAATCTCATTTTCATAAGTAGAGGAATTAATGCAAAAATGTTTTTGAAGTTATATATAATTAACTTTTTACAAAAGTAGTCAAAAACATTCATTAAAGATGTCATGGAAATAGGCGTACAAGTTGTTCAATGTTTCATTCTCAATCAAATATATATTTTAATGTATCAAGTATACTGTACATCTATTTGCATTTAGTTGGAACTTTAAGAACAATATATCTTATATTCTTAAATAGCACTTTATTTTTTTTTCAAATAAAAAGAATTAAATCATTCTTTGAATACTTTTTTTTCCCTCATAGCTTACCTGTTAGAGGTATGGATGTGGTCATGGGGCATGAAGTTATTTTAGTAAAACTTTTTATTTTTAAATCTTGTTTTAAGATCAGTAAACTTAAAAAGTGGATGAAAATGTAAGATTGGCTTTCTTAGTAAAAAACCTATTGCTGTATATTATTACTAATTTCAAATGATTCATTCAAGTGTGCATTATGTTCATTTCTTCATTAAATTTGAAGACTTTACTTTTAATTTGAAGGCATTTTAAAAGAAGAGTAGATAAAAGAACAAAGGTCTGTAATATGTCTCATTTCAGATATAAATTAGGAACCCTATAATTGTGCTTTACAAGAACAATACAATTCATAGACATCATTAATTATACTCAGACTTGTTAAAATATTCAAATACCATTTAGTTTTCAAACTTTGTAGAGTTTCATAAGTAGACTGTTGTAGGTTTTCAAAACTGAACTCTTATTTCAATTTTATAAAGTAAAAATACACAGAGTAAGACAATCATTAAAAATGGCAGCTATATAGCTCAGGAGTTCAAATTGTTTTAAGGCAATTTTTAAAATATAGTGCACTGGGAAGAAAACAAAATTTTTAATGAAAACTTGTTATAATTTTATTATTTGTTCAGTCTTTCTCTCTTCCCTCTAAATGAAAATACAAAAACTTTATTTTTAAAGAAAATGTTCTTAGAGAAATGCGAGGTTACTTTTCAACTTCTGTTCAGAGCTCAGATATTGTGGGGATCATTGGTTTCTGATTGCATAGCAAAAGATATGTAACTGCTCTGGGGGTAACAGGGATCCCACTGAATACACCACCCCCTTTTCTCTGACAGCTGGTCCATTCCTCAACTATTCCGGGAATCTTCATCAGAGCCCTCAAGTGGGAGTAAGATTTCAAAGATTATCAGTGAGGACTCCCCTCTAGTAGGAGAACTAGTTAACTTCACATGTTCTCTTTTACTACAGAGGAGATACCCAGACGTTTCTGTCTTAGCACTACTCAGAAGCAGCCAGGACACCCGGCTTACATTTTGAACTTACATTTTGTTTTGGACAAACATGTAGAGCAGCTGTCTTTGAAATATTTGGTACAAGTTTACTTTTTTCAAGACAAACAGGTTAGGTGCTTAATTTTTGTTAAGAGGAACTGGGTAAAGACAGTGATATAAATTAGGGTGTGTGGTTAAAAAATTTTTGATGAAGACTTTCCAAGCGAGAGTCTCAATTCCTTTCTTTTGGAAATGCCATTTAAAGGCAAAATGACAAATTTAAAAGACAAAGACAAATGTTTAAAAATCACAGTGAGGAAGCAGTAAAGTTAGCAATTAAGGGCAAGCCACGGAAGACAGCACAGGGATCGTATTCCCTCTTTTCTCATTGAATCTGAGAGCCTTTATAGATTACTTTCAATAGAGTATAATTAGTTGTATAAAAATGGTTGCCCGCACCCACCAGCATCCCGAACCCATACATGCTGGGTGTATGGTATACATAATCTGGACTGAAGGGTCTGGATTAAGTTCTGGGCTTGACGTTAAGGTTGCCTGGGCAATAATGTCCTCATCAGCTCACACACGTCACACGAGACACTTCTCTTGACCATGGACGCCAAGACCTCCCACGGCCGCAGCCTACGTGTCTCCCCGCACTCCAACCGGGTTCTCTGAGCATCCGCTCCTCTGACCCCCTTTGCCTCGCACGGAGTCGAGTCCCTGGGGCAGTCAGATACCAAACGGGGTGGACTCAGTTCATACAGAAGCCTGTGCCCCTGCAGCCGCCAGCAGCGGCTGCGTAGGACCCCAGACGGGGCTGGCCTCCCGCCGCGGCTCGTGGGGTGTGACACCCCGAGAGCCCCCGCAGGCGGGGTTGTGGGCTGTGGGCGCCGGGAGTCCCAGCCTTGTGGCCGTGACGTCATGCCCAGGGCCCAGCCGTTGCGGTGAACCGGCCGCGTTCCGGTTCCGGTAGGTTACCCGGGAGACGCGGGTACACACAGGACCGGCTCCCGTCGCGGCCGAGCGGTCGCGGCTGACGCCCTCTGTGCGCGGACTCGCCGCCGCCGCCGCTGTCGCCTCTGTAGCGACCACCGCGGGCTCCATGAGTCAGAGGCAGGTGCTGCAAGGTAGGACCCGGACGGGCTGGCGGAAGAGCAGCGGGCTGACGGGGCGGCCCGCTCCACCTCGGCTCTCCCCGCAGTGTTCGAGCAGTACCAGAAAGCTCGGACCCAGTTCGTGCAGATGGTGGCAGAGTTGGCGACCAGACCCCAAAACATCGAGACGCTGCAGAACGCGGGTAAGTCCCGACCCCGGCCAGCGTCTTCCGCGCGGCTGTTCTCTCCTGGCCCGGGAAGTCGCCCCGCTTCTGCTCGCCCCTGATCGCCCTGCGCCCCTGTCCCCGCGTCACCTGGTGCGGGGCCTGGCCCGGCACCGTGAGCCCCTACTGCTGGGCCTCGCCCCTCGCGGGGAATCCCCGTCGCTGTTCGCCCTTCGCCCCTGGCATCACCAAACCCAGCCTGGGTCCGCGCTCTCCTGCCTCGCCGCCCATGCGTGGCCCTGGCTTTCTTTCCCCTGGGTCGCGGTTGTCCTGCCCCCCTCCCCCTCCGCCGGCCGAGCTTTTTGGGAGAGACAAGGTGGGGACGGGAGGTCGATGTTCCTGAACACGAGCTTGTTTGGGTGTGAAGCCAGGTTTCTGATGGGTACCAGAGGCTCGACGTCCTCATTTCCATTTTTATTGCAACCGGGTAGGTGTCAGGTTGAAAGTCAACGTCCTTTGTATTGCCTGGAAGTCTTTTTCGTCAATGGGGATCTACCCTCGGAAGACCTGTTTTATCTGTGTGTCATTGCATATCAACCTCGGTTTTGATGACCTCCCATTTCCTCACAGCAAAGGAATTCCAGAGCCCTTGCCTTGGAAGAGCAATGATATGCTTGAATTTTCCCCAAGAGATTTAAAGTTGATAAAGTAGATTATGCTTTTGACAAATCTTTCTCTGCTCTCCTTCCACCCCTGAAGTCCGCACACTTCTCATGGAGAGAAGTGTGTGTGTGTGTGTGTGTGTGTGTGTGAGAGAGAGAGAGAGAGAGAGAGAGAGAGAGAGAGAGAACACAAACCACCATTATGATGTTTCTGTCCCCTCCCATCTCCCCTCTTCCCTCTCCTTTTTCATATTAAGGATGATTGATTGCACAACTAGCTGAACTCAAATTAAGATAGCATGTTTTCACTACTCAGTCAAGACAAATCTTCAGTTTGTAGGATGTGATTTTCAAAACTGATTTAAATTAACACAAAATTTAAAGAAAATTAAGAGCATAGACAGGAATATAAGTAATATTTACTCTGGACTTGTTTGAAGATAATTTCTGTTGCAATCTAGACACTAATTTCCCATTTTTTATGTTTTTTTTGTGATGGGGTGTACTTAGAGAAAGTGTAAAGTATAATAATATATATTTTTAATTTTTAGTTTATATGCAGTTGTAAAGAAATAATAGAGATCCCATGTAACTCCACATTCATCAGTCACAAACAGAATATTGGCATGGAGACAAATCCATTGGTTTTACTCATGTGTTTACAGTTTTACTTGTGTTTATTTGTGTGTGTGTTTAGTTCTGCATGATTTAGCCCCAAGCGTGTCCATCGATGGCAGAGTCATCGCAAAGGCCCCTTGTGTTGCCCTTTTCTAACTACATCCACCTTATTCTTGTCACTAAACCTGGGTGGCCACTAATCTTTGTTCCATTTCATTTATTTCAAAGATGATAGCCTTTGTTCTGAAATTGTCCCATCTGGGTTAATTTTCTTTCTTCAGTATGTGTTGTGTTTGTGTTCATGTGTGCATAGTCCTCAGTGTACTCAGAACAGTGCTTTCATGTTTCATATGTATTTGTTAATTTATGTGCATTCGAACCTGTGACATTGCACTTATTTTTTAGTTTTTGTCTCTTAGTTCTATATTTTAACTTTGTGAATGGACATTTACTCTTTACTACCTGGAAAATATATACATACAGTGAAACCATTTTTTAAATGGGAAAATTTTTGTTTGCAATTTTAGCAGTAAAGTAATTCACTCCCCAAAAGATAATTCATGTGTTTATATATGCTGAACTGGGACCGGGACATGTTTCTTCATTGCCTTTTGGCCTTGTATCTTTGTGGATAAGGGTAATGATTTCTAATGGGCCCAGGTGCGCCTAATGAACCTCAGTTGTTAACTGTTGAAGTAAGTCTTCTGATTAGGCCTTTGACTACTAGTGACTGTCCAGTGATTGCGTGTAACTGGCTTTGGAGGTCTCCTGGAGAACCACTGTGGGAGAGAGGGAGTCCAGATGAGCTGGCTAATGCTAATTGATAGACATTTGTAGGTTGAAGTGGTGGGGTTGTATTAAGGCCTTAAACTGGCTTCAGAGTCAGATGACCTTTCTGCTTCCTTTGGCTTCTGAGGAAAGCCTTACTCCTTAGAAACTCACACAGGAAACTCATAAAAGCACCCAGTGAAAGGGTGCAATCCACTGGAAGTTGAGAAACAAGATGGCACTTCAGCATGTTGTTCGACTGAGAGCCTGCAACGATTGAGGTGAGACTTTATCAGAGCCAGGGTGGTCAGCTGCTTTGTGAGTGACTGCGTTGGACCTTCTGAGCAGTTACTGGGGAGGCAGCTGGTATTTGTTGGTTGATGCCTGTGAATGTATTCTCTTTTATTTCATTTAACCATATTTTATTTGAAGGACTTTAACGTTTGTTGGAGGTGAACTTAGCAATTTTCTTGAGTAGGTGTGTTGGGCCTAGGACAGTCTCAAGACCACACCTTGAGAAAAGCTTCAGGCTTGCTGTAGATGACACAAATTAGACTTACTTAGTTTTCAAACTGAAACTTTGATTTTGACATGTGTTAAGAGGGATTCATTTCCCTTACTCTTTTGCTATGAGTGAAACCACCTGGTATTTTTCTTTTTCTTTCAGGCTTATTTTACTTAGCATGATTCCTTCCAGCTCATTTGTGTTGCTGCAAATGGCATAAAGTAAAAACAAAAATCAACAAACAACTATAAATCAGAGACATCCTACTAGGTGTAGCGGGGAATAGAATCAAAACTGGACGGGAAGAGCACACGGGACTATGGTGATGGTACATGGGTGAAGTGGTGGTGGGACTACACCACTGGGTGTACAACTGAGATAAAAACATGTACAAAATGAAGAATGATGTTGTATATATATAAATTTTAAAGAAGAAGGATTCTGTTTTAAATTTATTGTGTATTCAAATTATGTTTAAGATGTATGTGAAGACAGCTGGTTTTGGGCTTATGGTATGTTTGCATGTGTCTCCAAAGGACACGATCTCCACACATTTTCTCTATATAAGTTGTATTGCTGAGTCCAATTAGAATCTCTATTAAATTACATGCACAGACTATATTAGTTTTCCATACAAGTGTCTTTATAGCACCAGCCTAATAATATACCCTCTATTTTGTTCAAATTGAGAATTTAGTTTAAAAAAAAGACCTAATATTCCTTAAACTTCTTGAAATCTATCATTGAGGGCTTTTTTTCTCAAAACAGGAGAATTGTGGTATATTAAGTAAAAACTGTAACTAATAATAACCAAATTAAATTAAATATTATATACCCAGATGGATTAATTAATCAAATTCTTAACAAAAAACTTCAGAGTTCCTGAAACTTAATTCAAAATATCGAGGTATAACCCAGTAAGGATTGATTTTCCAATTATAATTTGAAAGTGAACAAGCTACTGAATTCACATAAATACAATATTTTGGTAGAGAAAGGAAACATCAGAATCCCCAGGGAAAAGTAATACAAAGCGCCATTATGACTTTCATTTTATTTTTTTATCTACATACCTGTAAAACCAACTATCATTCTAACTGAGATATGTCACTTCTCAAATTCCCTTGATGCCCCTTTCTAGGGGCAGACTCAGGCCCCTCCCCCCACACTCGGTGCTTTCCAGGTACCATTCATGTTTTTTGTTTCCTCTTTGCTAAAGGGTACTTACTTAAAAGTAATTTAGCTGCTTCTCGTGCCAGAACCCATGCTAGCAAGTTTTTCTTTTGTTTTTAATAGAAATGAGAGCACATTTAACAATGTCCTTTAATTATTATAGATCCAATAGTAAATCTTCATTTCACTTCCTTTCAGCAGACAGATCTATTTTATTCTTTTTCACAGATGGGTATTTGTCCATTAAGTGAAGACACTATATTTTATTTATTCAATAATTAGTATCTTATTGAGGGACCTCTAATTGTTTCTATTTTTATGCCATTGTTGAATGATTTTATTATACCTTCATGACACACTCTTCTTTTTATAGTGTAATGTGCTCATTTGTGTTTCTTCATATTCATATGTTGAAGATCTAACCCTCAGTATCTCAGAATATGGCTCTAGTTGGAGATGGGACCTTATTTATTTATTCATCTTTATCCCCACCACCATCCCTTGGGTACCCTGTATCTTTCCCTTTTCCCACCCTTTAAGCTCAGAGCCTTCAGGATATTAATGTCCACGGTTTTCAAAAGTGTTTTACATTATCAGTAGTCTGCTATGTAAATGTGCATTACTTATTTTTATTGCTATGACTTTCTTTGAGCCCCATAATTCTTAACCCACAAATAAATCACAATTGTGATTCTTTTAAAACTATGCCAATTATATTTCATATTTTTGCCTCATTATTGTATTTATTATGTATTATTGTTATTGTGTATAAACAAATTTAGCTTTTCTTTAGAGTACAGATTCATTTTATTTAAAATAGTGTATATCCATTAATAAGAGTAGTAAGTTATATTCAATCACAGCAAGAAAAACAAAATCAGCTACAAAAATGCATAGAAGACATGAATAGTTTCACAGTTTAACTTGGACGATGTATAATGGTCAATAAGGGTAGGAAAAGACATTCACGATCATTAGTACAGTAAAATAATTAAAAAACTACAATAGGATACTGCTTCACATGCATGCTGTATTAGGATGGCTATTATTTAAAAAAGAAGGAAAGTAACAAGGATTGTTGAGGATGTAGAGAAATTAGAAGTTGTCCTTTGCTGGGAAGAGTGTAAACTGGTGTTGCCTCTATGAATAGAGTGAATGGTTCCTTATGGTGGTGATGGAATTGCCCCACTGTCAGTTTATTAAAGGCCAATGAAAAACTTTAAAAAATGTAGCAATAAAGCAACTCTCAGAGAGGTGATCAGAAAACTTTTAAATCCAACTTTCCAGAGAGAACCCCTGTTAACACCCGGCAACCATATTGTAATACTTTTATCTGTGCTGTAAGCTTATTGTCACTAGTATTTCTGAAAATAACAATATAAGCAACACCCACAAACACTGACATGCTTATTTTTTTTAATATGTTTCGCCTCAGCATGAGCAAAAGTGCGGTGTGCTGCAGTTAGCCAGCCTAAGTGGCGTTCAAAATCACAGCTGTAGCCTTATACAGGATGATCTAATCAAGTCCTGTTAGCCATAAAAATAATGGCTGGTCCTCCTTGGCAGCTCAGTGGGTTAAAGTGCAGCACTAAGCCAGCTGCGGCTGCAGCTTGAGTTCAATCCCCACCCCAGAGGTGACCCATATGGTGCAGCAGACCTCTCCTGATCTCCCTGCTGCTCCCCTCAGCAGTGTATTTCATCGATCTTTGTGTTCTGCTCCCTACTCTGTCTCTGGTGAATCCTGTCTCTGCCCCTGCACCTCTGGCCTGTACCCCAGTTCTGTATGCATAAATAAATAAATCTTTAAAAAATAATGGCTAAGTGAGACTAAAAACAGATCACATCCCTTAATGTAGCTGTGAATCAGCATCATTATTCTCTGCTTGTAATGTCCTTGGGTTGTATTTATCTTCTTTTGGTCTAATTCTATATGTAATTTGTAAATATTTGGCTTTTGTTATTCTATGTTAAATATTTATGAATATAACATAAATGCCTGTTGGCAGGAGGTATGTTTTTAAGGAAGAGCTGTAATAACATCAACTGCATAGCCTGTGGGAAAGTAAAGTTTAGAATGTCAGGGTGCTTGCTTTGGTTTGAACTCTATTATTAGCTTTCTTATGACCTTAACTAAAGTGCCACCATTACATGGATTAAATACAGCAGTTACTATTTTGCATATATTTTAGGAAGGCAAAGTTAATATAATAAGGGAGACTATCCAAATAAAAGATTATTAAAATGCAATTATTATTGGTCTTCCTTTCCCCACCTCCTCAGATATTTATTTAGCAGTTACCCATTTCTAACTGTGCTAATTGTGTGATGGTTTTCTCCATCTTTTCTCAGCCTTAATTTACTTGTCTGTAAAATTGAATAATTGGGATTACTTCATAGATAATGACAGTTTAGTGAATTTAATATAAAAAATCAGATCCTTAAAATAATGTGTGCATATAAGCTACTTTCATTGTTAATGTGTTGATGATAGACCTCTGTATTCAACCTTAAGATGAATATTATGAAGGAATAGGATATATACTTTCTTATCTCAAAGATTTATTTACTTGCAGATAATGTTAATAATCTGAATTTGCAGCCCCTCATGAATACCCTTTCCCAAGGTCCTGCTGAGCCTCCCTGGCTCTGAAATAGACTCTGATCAGATTTCTGTAATAAAGTCTAAATTCAGCTGGAATCAGAGAATATACCAAACCAGTGGTATTTGAGAAAAATCAGTAGGAAAACTTCATGGAGAGGAAAAGACCTAACTAATTCCTGAGCGGCGCATTGCGAAGTCTCGGGGAGATCTATGCCGTAGTGCCCCTAGCCCCAGCACCTGCCTTGTGCCAGGCCGCATACTGTACACGTCACCACCTTGTTCTGTGTTCCTCATGACAGTCCTGTCAGGTCACATAGCTAGTAGTTGCCAAATGAGGGGTTTAAACTGTTCACCTCACTCCAAAGTCTTTCTTATCTCCATGCTGTTCAGCTGCTTTGAAAATTACTGAGCAACTTCTATTGTTTTACACCCTGGCCAGTTAAAGCCTTCTAAGTAGCCCAAATTTTTACTGGTTTCCTCCCTGATTTTCCCATCTGCCTGTGTACTGAACTGTATGTTTGCTTTTTTCCCTTCAATTTCTCTGATTTCTGTTTTTTCATAATGTAACTCAGGTGTAATGTCTCTGCTGAGGCCTCTTCTTCTGGATGTGGTCCCAACAATTCAACAGACTGCTGCTTTGGCTCTTGGGAGACTGGCTAATTATAATGAAGACCTGGCAGAAGCAGTTGTGAAGGGTGACATTCTTCCACAGCTTGTTTATTCATTGGCAGAACAAAATGTAAGACTT